GAAGCAGCATCAGCATCGTCATCGTCATCGTCATCATGGTCATCCTCTTTCTCCCCCATCTCCTCCTCCTCCTCCTCCTTCTCCGCCTCCTCCTCCTCCTCCTCCTCCTCCTCCTCCGCCTCCTCCTCCTCCTCCTCCTCCTCCTCCTCCTCCTCCTCCTCATCCTCCTCCCCCTCTCTCTCTCTCTCTTCCTTTTCCAGGTGTTCCCCCAAAGGGTTCCACAACGGCTGGGGGAACACATTGTCCAATACATTGGCCATGCGTCATACGTTGGCCCAACGCTTGGCTTGAGAGGCGACGTCAAAAGACACGAGGCATCGGTAGGCGTGGCCGGTAAATCAGAAGCCTGTCGGGCAAACCTGAGTTGGGACAACAGTCACGCACGTGTGCGTGTACGCGCAGTCGGGCGGCCCGCTACTTCTTGATCTGAGATTGAGCTGCGGCTTTGCTTTTCGTCTTCCTGTCTCGCCTTCCTCTATCGTTGTTTCGCTCTCTTCTCGTGTCTTGTCTTCTTCTCTCCTGCTGCCGTTCCGTTGTCGCTTGTTTAGTTTGCCGCCTGTTAGGCCCGCTTTCGACTTACTGACGGTGCGCGGTTGGTTCCGCGACACTCGCGATCAAAAAAGTGTACGCGCAGTCATGTTGGCCGTTGACGTGGGAGCAGGGCGATGCAAAGCGAAGCCAAACATCTTTTCTGCTCCGCACCACAGACAAGACTGCACGCTTCGCTCTTGGACTCGGGCACATCGAACCAATAGTTCAATGTCAAGTTTATTCCGTCAGAGCCCGTGACCTCGTGCCACCACCCATAAGGCAAGTACAGACACTCGCCAGCTGCGACTGTTACACGCCAAGGTCGCGCTTGCGCAAACTTAGGAAAGTCGCTATAATCGCCTTTCTCTCCAGTCCTCACCCTGCTGAAGAATTGCTTCGGGAAGTCACCCGGATACATCTTATCGGAGTCACAGGGTGGGTAAAGCAAAAAGTCCTTCGAGCCACGAAGCACGAAGACGAGGTTCTCCTGCTCATCATAATGCAGGGGCGTCACCTGGCGCCCGGCTCCAAGATACATGATCAGGCCCTCGAAATACGGAGCTCCAAAGAGCGCACGGAAAGGCAGGGCCTCGGGGTCCACCGCGTCGACGGCGAGCTCGGGGAGGGTCTCCAGGGAAATGCGCGCAGCGTAGACCTCGGGCGCCGGGCCGTGCAGTTCCGTCAGGACCTGCCTCAGCGGCATGGAGGCCTCGCCGCTCGCTCGGCCGCCCTCGACGAAGACGTCTCCGAACGTGCGAGCTCTCCCAGACGAGGTCGGTGGCGCCCACAAGGAGGTTGGCGCGAGAGGAGGGCGGCCCTCTATAAGAAAGCGGGGGGAGGGCTTCTTGGAGAGCGGGGGCTGTCTTGGACTCGCCATCGCTCGGACGTGCATTCCCCGTGCTCTTGTCGATCCCGTGCGCTTTCACTTCTCGTAGGATGATCCAATCTGCTCCTCGATGGCCCTCGCCAAGCAAAAAGGCACGCGCCGCAGCGCTGCCAAGCAGAAGCGCCCGACGGCTTCGAAGAGAAGGCGCCCCCCCCCCCCTCCGCTTTTTCTCAGAAGGCCGCCCCCATTGCGCCGCCCCCTGGCGGGCGCCGCCCGCGATGAGGGCCTCACCCGCACGGGCACGCGGCGCTCCCCGCAACGCGCCCGCAGGAGCTCGTCCGTCCACGCGGCGGCGCCGGGCCGCAGCGGCAAGGCGAGCGAGCCGGCCACCCGGCGGAGCAGCGCGGGGCGATTCCTGGAGACGTGCGGCGCCAGCGCCTCGACGGTGGCATCGTCGACGCACGGCACCGCGACGCCGTCGTAGCAGGAGCTGAGGATCGGCGGCGCGCCCAGGGGGTGCCCTGAGATCCTGGCGTCGCGAGTCTGTTCGCACCCGGCGAGGACGCCCCCTTCTCGGGCCCAGGGGCCCTCGGGGATCGATCGAGCCCGAGCAACACGCCAGAAAGACGGGATGTGGGGCTCTGGTTCTGATTTTTACTGGGCTGCAGCCTCTCTCTTACGACGTCGGGTCTCCGGGGAAGCGAGAGGGGGCGAGCCTTTTCAGTAGGCTCAGAAGTCCTCGGGCCTTCCGGGAAGCTCTCTGGGCCTCCCCCGAGAGCCACGGAGGGCCTCGCGGGAGACTCCAGGGCTTGCTTCTGTGCAGCCCCGCCGCCCTCCGAGAAGGCCTGCCCAATCGAGGAAAGAGAACTATGCACATGCACCGACTCTGGCCAGACCCATCCTGAGCCCAGGATCGGTGCATACGCCCTCCTGCCTTGGCCAGGAGGGCACATGCACCGATCCTGGGTCAAGGATGGGCCTTGCCAGGATCAGTGCATGTGCATAGTTCTCTTCGCCCGACCCAATCTCGCTGCCTCCCCTCGGCGCGCCGCCGAGAAGAAGTGCGGCGACAGCCGCCGCCGCTTGGCGGCGGGCATCTCGCGGGCCTGTGCCAGGAGGTCCGCCACTGCAGCCCGGTGCTCCTCGAGGATCAGCCAGTGCCCCTCCTGCCAGGCCGAGAGCGGCTCCCGGAAGGGCCCTCGGAAGTCGACCTGCTCTGGCAGCAGGCCAGAGAGGAGCTCCTCGATGGCATGCAAGCAGACCACATCCAACTCATGCGCGGCCAAGACCGGGACCTCGGTCTGTTAGTTGGTTATCCCTCTCTGTAGCTACAAGCTGTTATATATGTGAATGTATTATGTGTGCCTCTGAGTTATAGATCCATGTGTATATATATATATGTATGCATACGTATATACACATATTAAAGACATGTGAATATATATATATATATATATATATATATATATGTGAATACATGTGCGCATGCATGCATATAAATATGTATGTATGGATACAAGTGTTATGTGCGTAGGTGGTTTTGCTCGGTATGTCATCCAACCCCCGTCCTTCATTCTTTACCCATCGAGGAGGAAATTATGCACCCCTCCCTCTCCCCTCTTCCGTGGGTCTGGACGGGATGGGGGGCGGGGGGGCGACCCACAGCAGCGTCCAAACGAGCCCGATATAGCCCCCAAAGAGCCCCAAATAGTCCAACTTCCAAGATGGCACAAGATAGCCGAGTATGGATCGAAATAGCTTCCAGTATGCCTCCAAGAGGCCTCAGGACCGCCACAAGACGACTCCAAGCGGGCACGAAGTCTCCCAATGAGGCGCCCGTGAGGTCAAAATTCGTATTCCTGCCAGCCAGTACGAATTGTACTAATACTGTTGCTTTTAGTGTACCTTATCGTCTTCACTCTCCCAGTGACCTTCGGAGGCCTCAAGATGACAGAGGGCCGAAAGAGGGAACCACGAAGACTCTAAGACGGCCCCCACAGCCCCTAACAGTACCCAATGAGTAGCCCAAGAGTCCACCCCCTTCGCTAAAGGTCAAACTCAATGTTAAAACCCAAGGTGGTTAAACTATCTGGGCTGTTGGACCAAGATTGCTCCAAAATGGCCAAAGCCACCTTCAGGTGGCCAAAAAGATTATGCCATATGTTTGTGGAGGCCACGACAATGGACACCCTAACAGTCCTATCATTGAATTTAAAATGTGTTTAAAATGCCTGACAAATGTTCTAAACATGTCTTAAGCATGTTTTTACATGTTTAAAACATGGGTAACACATGCTTTAGACATCTGGGAATCATTTGGCAACATGTTTCCTCTCCGTTGATCGTCCTCCACAACAATGTGGTCCAAAGTGGATCAAAGCAGCCTCCAGCATACCTCCAGGAGGCCTCAAGACGGCCCAGAGACCGCTCCAATTGGCCTCGGAGACCCCCAGTGAGGCGAGAGACCAAAAACATCAAAACGTGTTTCAATGTGTTGTGCCGTATCGCCTCTTCGCTTCCGATGGGCTTACGAGGCCTGAAGGCGACTCCAAGATCGTCCAAGAGAGCCCCACAGGAGCCCAGAAGAGCTCCAAGTCGGACCCGAGAGCGCCCATCAGCGCTTCAACAGCGCTCCAAGAGGGCCCCAAGAGCCGATTGTTTGGGTTCCAACGGTGGTAGGCAAATTAGCGCAACCACTATTTATTAATCGCTATCCTCCAAGATGGCCCCCAGAGGACTCTCAGGGTCCCCAGGAGGGTCCTAAGAGAGCTCCAAGCGGACCCCGAAGGCTTCCAACATTGCTCCAAGAGTGCTCTGAGGAGCCCCCAGAGACATCTGAAATCAACAGTGTTGGTCTCTCTGTTTCACTCAATTCTTGCCATAGCCCCCCCAATTGCGGATAAGAGTGAGAGGGCGGCGGGTCATCGGCAGTCTGCAAGGCTCTGAAGAAGCCCGCGCAGGCGCAGATTTTTTAGACATTACATGACGAGCCCGCCACAGGCGCCGAATTCTCGTCAGAACATTGAGGGTGGGTCGCGGTTGGGTCGCGGGTGGGTCGCTGGTGGGTCGCGGGCGGGTCGAGGGCGGGATGCGGGCGGGTCGCGGGCGGGTCGCGGGTGGGTCGCGGGCGGGTCGCAAACAAAAACAAGAACCCTCACCGCAGAAACCCACTTCAGGCACGCACCCAGGAATGGTGTAAGACTGGTCGGCCCAGTCACTCTGACCCACGTCCCTCCGCCCGACAACTCCCCTGGGCATCGTTCCTGACTGGGCTGGTGGGGATGCGCGAAGCGTCAAGGATTACCTTAGCTCGCAGCACGGCCTCTGAAAGGGAAGGCGCCTCCGCGGGCGAACCGCGGCAGAGCAGTACGCGGAGGCACTCCAGGAGCCCCAGGAGGCCAGCAGGAGGAGCGCCAGAGGCTTGACCGACGGGCTGGGCGGCCAGCCAGTGCTCCGTGGAGATCCCGCGGTGCGCCAGGACCACCAGGCGCTCGCCGCTGGCGGGGTCGTCCTCATCTGGATCCAGATGAAGAGGTCCGATCTGGTCGTGCGGGTTCCCCTTCACGCAGAATCCGTGCCGAAGGATCAGCTCCGCGTTGCCCATGCCGCACGGACCGCCCGCCGGCCCAGGCCTCCGGCCTCCGCTGGAAGGCGAGAGCAGATCGGCTGGGAGGCGGCGGCACGTCTGCAGACTCCACGGGCACTGGTCGCCACCTGCACACGGCTCGGTGCCCGCTACCGCCTCGCCCGCACAGGGCCGCTCGCTGCCGAAATCGTCGAGAACGCCCAGGGCCCAGAGGATGCAGTCGGGGCCGGCGTGGAGGCCCAGGCAGGCTGAGGCCTGGCTGCAAGAACTGGTGACCGCTTTTGAGAAAGACAGGTACCGTGTCGGGAAGAAGGGGTTGAGAACATACAGTCAACCCGTATAATAAGGATACGCGGTAAGGATGCAAGGGCCCTGGAGGGCCACGTTGGCGTTTTTCGAGCGAGGTTGGCCAACGAAAGTGGCCAAGTATGGGCCGAAGGGGCGAGGATGCAAGGGCACCCTTGGGAAGGTTGCCCATCCCCACTATGTGGGTTGACTGTACAGCGCACGGCTGTGTAATCCTCACCTTCAGCATACGCGGTAGTACGGACGACATGATCACTTCTCCCAAGCCCATCCTCCCAACCCGGTAACTGTCTGTCTGGGCTGTGGGGCCCAGGAGCTAAGACGAGGCAGCCACGACCGCTGGGCTGAAGAAGCCGCCGCTGGCGCCGACCCAACGGCAGACCCCGACCTCCCGGCGGTGATGATCTGCGGGCGGCGCCCGATTTCGGCGCGGCGCGGTGGACTCTATTTCGCCCATGATGAAAGATTCGGAGCATGGCGGGGTGGACATGTGCGAGGCGGGGATTTATCCATATCCACCGCCTGGGAACCGACGTCCTGGTGCCCTGGCGGGCGGTTGATATGGATGTATGTTGGCCCCCGGGGGCCAACACAATATGTCCATATCCACCGCCTGCCGAGGCTCCTGAAACTGACCCTCCAGGCGGTGGCCATGTATCAATTCTCGCCTCGGAACAGGGACAAGGGCCAGCGCCGATGTACGCCCCCGGGGGGGCGCGGCCCTCCAAGAGCACGGCGGGGGCGCCAGAGCCCTGACACTCAGATGTCGTAGCACACGACTGCTTACGAGCCAGGATGTTTGCATCATTGGATCCACTGATATGGCTTCCCCCCTAAATTTAGGTCGGGCGGGTCCCCCTACAGGGGGATCTTGGGCGAAAAAGAAAAATACTCAAAAAGTACCCCCAAATGGTCGAAAAATACTCCAAAAATCGTCCCCTGCTTATTTTAAAACTATTTTTGAATATTCCTCCTGCAGAGGGACAGGCCCGAATTAACATTGGATTCACTGATATGATGTTCCCCCTAAATTTGAACACGGGGCGTTCTGCAAAGTGGGGGCACTCTTGCCTCACACACTTTTCCACGATGCGACGCATCACCTCGGCCAATGGCGGGGTGGAGGGGGGGCGAAGCCACCCAAAAGCCAAACAGACAACAAACACGTCCGTGCACCCGACCCCTATAGACGCACAACATTACCAGCCTGAACCAGATCCCGACCCCCAAGAATGGCAGCACCCTGTCTCGGCGCCGATCTAAAGGATTACCCGATTTGTTTCAGGGCGCATCCCTGAGATTGTCGTCGCCTCGGGCTTGTCAATCTTGGGGATGACGACGAGTTCGAGGCTGACGACGACAGGGCAACCGATGGACGGATTTTTTGGTCCGCGGCGAAGGCGAGCGCCAACGCGGTCGCAAGCCGGCGGGCCGCGTCGGGCAGAGGCACACCAAATAAGTGGAAAAAAGAGGGCGCAACGCAGGGGGGAGGCCTCAGGCGTGGAGAGTCTATAAAATTGTGGATGCCACGACAATGGACACTCTAACAATCTTAGCATTGAATCAAAAATGCGTTTAAAATGTGTAAAACATGTTCTGAAAACTATTAAAACATGTTTTAGCACACTTAAAACTTATGTGAAGCATCTGTTCGACATCTGGGAATGATTTGGCAAGATGCTCCTTCTCCATTACTTGAGCAGGGACCGACCGTCCCGGCATTTCTATAGTCCAAACCACGGAATGTTCTTAGAACCCAAAAAATGCTCTAAGAACAAGAACAGTGTTCTTAGAACTTCAGCCTTATGTGTTAAAACAAGACAGCCACGGCCAGACATGCTCTGAGAACATGTCGTGGAGACCACAAAGGTTCTTAGAACATTGTTTGGTAGGGCTATAGGCGAGCCAGGACGCTTCGCCACTGCTTGAATCAATCGATTTCCACAACTGCAGACCACGAGTGGTGCGCGAGCGGCCTCTTTCTGGGTTTTTGCCTTCCCCATATTTCCCCATAGCGTCCCATATTTTCCTGGGAATAGTTCCCATATTTTCCCATATTTCCCACTTCCTATATTTTCCCATATTCTCCTGGGGATCGACGATTAATTGTGTCTGTGTGTGTTTTCCCTTCCTGATATAAACCACGAGGGGTGCGCGGGCGGCCTCGGGCACCCGAAACTCGGTGCAGTGGAGTGCGGGTGGCCCGGAGAGCCCGGCCTACCCTCTGGAGCGCGCGCGCGGGTCGCCTCTGCCGCGACGCGACGAGAAATGTGGACGGTCTCCTCCTCCTCCTCTCCCTCCTCCTCCTCCTCCTCCGCCTCCTCCTCCTCCCTCCTCCTTCTCTCATTCCTCCTCCTCCTCCTCCTCTCCTCCTCTCCTCCTCCTCCTCCTCCTCCTCCTCCTCCTCCTCCGCCTCCTCCTCCTCCTCCGCCTCCCTCCTCCGCCTCCTCCTCCTCAGCACCGGCTGACACAGGCGAGGGAGGCGCGGAACCCATGGAGAGGCACACGGCCGCCCACCGCGCACAGGGCAGGAGATCGCTTCTTGAATATAGAGCTCTGCCGCGCTGCGACGAGAAATGTAGACCTGAGCATTAGCATTCTCTTAGGGTGGAGGGCTCAGAGAGAAATCCGTATAGGCTTCTGCGCCTCGAAAGCCAATCCGTCTTGGGATTCACCTATTGCAGACTCGAGCCTCGAGAATCCATCGAAACTGCATTTCAAATTTTACCATTTGCCCTCCACCCAAAGAAAATGCTCAGTAGACGGTCAGCACCGGCTGCCACAGGCGAGGGAGGCGCGGAACCTATGGAGAGGCACACGGTCGCCCACCGCGCACAAGGCAAGTGTGTGAGGGTGAGGAGGACCAATGGACCGACCCCACCCCCGAGTGTCCGTCGGTAGACGATGAGGGACGATGGTTTTACCCAACGTACCTCCAAGTATCGAGTACCTGTCATCCGAGCCAAGAGGGGCGATGGATATGAGCAAGATAGGAGGAAAGTAGGGGGATTCACACACACCCCCCGTCCCGATCCCGCCCGATGCCAACGCACAAAAGCGAAAGGCACCGAAGCGGGGATCGGGATAGGAGAGTGAATCTCTACTGAACTCCTGTCTGCAATCCACTGCTTCGGCCCAGGAAGGAAAGGAAGGGACAGCCAAAGCTCTGTCGTAAGGTTCGTACCCAACGGCGGCGCTAACCTGCAAAAAGTTTTACAGCGCCAGCCGCCGAGATAGAACCCAGGACAGTGCTGTGGGCTGGAGAGAAGTGGAATGGAGAGACTGAACTCTTATGACACCGACCCAAACGGTCGGTGCCCGAAGCAACACATGATAATCATGAATATGAAGTCTTCAATCCAATACCAAATCAAAGTAATCAAATCAGTCACGGTACGAGGGTGGTGAAAATCTTTTTATGCAAGTTCCATATCCAATCTGTACCAGATGCAATATGTACGTCTTGCCACAGTTCAAATCTAAAGGATATTTATGCAATTGTGCATTATGCGATTTTTTTTTTTTGAATCTATATGAGTAGTATTATCCCATCATGAGGATAGCTGTCACCATAAACTTTCTCACAGTTGTTGAGTCCATGAAGAGGAAGAATCCTTGAAGTGATATACTGATCAAAAGGTAAGTGCGAGCGTCCTCGAATACTACATGTCATCGAAGAAAATGATATAATGCATCAATAGGCACATCAACAATACGACAAAGTTGGAAGCCAGTCAAAATCTTATGGGCGGCATGGCAACCAGTTTCCTGGTGCGTCAGCGTGGAGGGTCCCAGCGCCATGATCTGCCCGTATATTTCCCCGATGTGTACTTCTTATTCCATGCAGTCGCGCCCCATCCATTATTGGCGAACGGATCCCACGCTTTGGTCCAGATGAACTCGCCCCAATGGTCGTACCACTGGCGGTCATACGGTGCAATTTGCCTGTCATAATAGTGGGCACCGTATTCAGCACTGTACCCGTGGGTCACATTCGAAATGGCGGGGCGCTTTGCCAGAGGTGGTCCATCATCGGGACGCGCAGGCGCATATCTGGCAGCGGAGGCGGTATGGCCATGGCTGTCGAACGCGCCGGAAGAAGTACGATACTCGGATGTGTGTGGTGGTGGCTGGGGGGTTGGATCGGTCCCGCTCCCCCTAAAGTCACCCCCACTACTGCTTCCTGGAGCGTTGCCGCTGCGGTCTCCCGCTGCACTGGCGGTCTCCTGAAGCTGAGAGTAGTATTCTTCGCGCTCTCGCTTAACACCGGATCGGATCTCGTCCCGGGACCCAGTCAAAGACTGTGGGTGTGCACGAATTTCTGCGGCGGTGATGGCACCGCGGAGAGATTCGCCCGGGACGTGAACGGTAAGGTGGTTGCGCTGAAAACGCTCACGGAGTGTTTCGGCTCCAAGGTTCGGCGCTCCGACCTCTTTCCTCTTTTTGGAGGCCTGCCAGAGGCGATCGGCCTCAGTGGCAACCTCTAACGTCCATGCAACCCTACCAGCCTGAGTCCGAACTGTTGTCATCTGCGCACGAAACTCATCATCCTCCGCAAAGCGCTGTGCTAGAGACATGTATGGATGATACATGGGAGGATAATTTGGATTCTCAGGCGGGATGCCGTCCGCGTCGGCGTCTGCACGTAGCTTGTCGCACTCCTCCCGAGATGGAGAACTCCAAGCTAGCCACTTCTGATGCCGTTTGTCAGCTTTCTTCCCCATGTTTTGAAGCTCGTCTTTAGCGTCTGTCTGTGGCTTCTTCGAGCCACGCGTATCAATGGGGGCAGCTGTGATGCGCTTGGCGACGTCATCCGGCTGAGTGGCGGCAAACGCAACGAACTGTTCTCGCCAGGCCGCAACTTCGTCCGGCCATTTGGAGTTCTCGTACCTCATGCAAAAGGCACATTTCAGAGTGGCCCCAGGCGTGTCCAGATCAGCTGGCATCCG